GAAGAGCGGAACACTGCGCTGCGGGAGGAACATGGTGGCTCCTGTACACAGAGCCCATCCAAAAAATCCCATTCATTAGGTTAAAAGCCCCATGTGCTCTCCCCTTTATCCCCCCAAAGACATCCCAAGCCCTGTCCTCATCCTTCTCCACCCCTGGCAGCAGGGACCGGCCGGCTGGATGAACTCAACCCGGGCTCTCTCCCTGTATTTATTTATTCTGGGCACTTCTCCTTCTCCCGGCGCAGGGGCTTTCCAGACAGTTCCTGTTTATTTTTGGGAAAGGAAAGACCACGTCAAAGAATTGGTATGAGCCGGAGCCACTTTTCCAGCCAGCCCCAAATGGTGATTTTATGTGGCCATCCCCTCACCCAAACTCTTAGCTCCTGGAGGATAACCTCTCACCTCTATCTAGCATCCTGATCCTTATTTTTTCCAGTTAATACGCAGCAGAAAAGGGGGGTTGGCTTAAATCCCAACCTCCTCCTCATTGGGAGCTCAGGAGGTGTTGTAGCCAAGGAGCCCTGCTCCCCCCCAGCTTTCTCCCAAAACTACAAGCAAATGATCCCAGCTTCCCTTTTGCAGAGGGAGCTCCAAGTGTCCCATTGTGCCAGCCCCACGCAGGTGAAAAACCATGCTAAATCCCAGTGGGAGAAAGGGATGCCAAAAGGGATCTTTGCCCAAGACACTGCACACTGGGAGGAGGGCGGCCGAGCAAGCTCAGGTGGGAAAACAGCCCTTTCCCCCCCCTATATTCCCTGCCTGGCTCCTTAGACACGATCCAGGATGTTCCCACACCAGCATGCTGGTACCCAGGGACCCAAAAGCAGCTGCTGGCCGGTGCCAGGGTGAGATGGAGGGAGCACAAGCGTCTGCAGGGGAAACTCCTTGATTTAAGGAATTGAATCCTTGAATGACGGCTATTCCTCACGCTGCGCTCTGCCGGCACTTAATTACCCTCTCTGGTAAAAGCTGGCCTCTTATTTCCACCTTGACTTTGCTGACTTCAGCTTCCCGCTGCTGAATCCCGCTTTGCCTTTGGCTGCTAATTAAAAAGCCCTTCAGCGTTAGCCGGCTGCTCCTTGCGTAGGTCATTATGTGCTCCAGCCACCTCTTCACCTTCACAGCATCCCGGCGGAACAAAGGCCTTACTTTAAAATACG